GGTAAATGTTCCCATTCATAGACCTGAGTGCGTGCAGCAAAACTTAGCTATAAATTCTAGACCATAGCCGTTTTGATGTGACTACCTGTGCAACAAAGCCTGTGATGTTTAATGGTACTGCACAATGTATCTGTAAATCATGAGCCATGCTTTTCATTTGGGTGTGTATGTTTACAGCTTGGCTCCAACACATTGTCAGTTATAGTAGTGAAAGGCGTTGGCTGTTCTTTTTTAGATGAACGTATAATTGTGTACTTTTGACATAAGCAGTGGTTGTCTAAATTTAGTGCTTTCTTTTTTACAAACTACTTGCATCGCAGTCAGCATTGCAGTTCAAGAGCTAAATTCTCAATTGTGCTGAGTTGAGCAAAAATGGCCAAATGCATTCTTGTGGCGGAAAACCCTTTATTCTTTATGTCTGCCATGAAAAAATAAGGAGTTATTCTAAGCCTAGCAGTGTGGTAACCAAAGAGGAGGCACTTTTTCTCGCTCATGAACGACATTAAAAATAACTCGAACAAATGTTTAGCAGATGAACGTTTTACAAGGTGTTTTTTTTAGCACGAACAGTGTTGTCCGGTTTACACACTTTTAGCAGGTCCTTATTAATGAATTAGTCAAAAAGACAAAAATCAGAATAATGGAATTGTTAAGTGAAATAACCTAAGCAAATTAACGATTCACGTTCAGATCTTCACTTCAAAGCTTCTCATTATGTACGGAAGGTAACTAGGTTTCATTCAGACCATGTCAATTGAGGTTATAGAGCTTTACTTCAAAGGGGTTTTTTGTGTTTTGGTCACTCACGGCTGTGACAGCTTCATAATAAGGACGGGTGATGGATCATCACCGTGATACCACATCGTGTGTGTATCCAGTTTCTGTGTTTTAGGTCCAATTCTATCCCAATGCCCCCTTGTATTGAACTTTGACCTCACTGAACTGGGTATACAAACAGTCGATTCACCTTTGGGCGGACGCCGCGGTTCCTATGACGTTCCTGTGGTCTGGTTAAATTGTTCTGTCATTACTCGGGAATGATTTGGAAGTACAAAATGAAAGCTGTTGTAAAACAGAACATGTAGATTGAATAATGAAGCTAAATATAATAAAGGAAGTTCCCAAGTGTAAATTAAGGCTGGGCAATGTGGCTAAAAATTATCTCCATTAGAGCCCGACCGATAAAGGATTTTGAAGTCCGATACCGATGCAAATATTTATTGGTTGTAAAATCCGATATATCGGCCGATATTTTTTCTTAATTATTATTTCAGAAACGCGCAACAAATTGTAAAACATACATTTTTAATATAACAGGCCAAGGAGAGATGATTCGTCTCATTGCTATAACTGTCACGGGCTATTAAAGAAATACTTCAGTCACATTGTCAAAAGTTAAAAGGACTACGCTGTAACAACATAATGTAACTACTAGCTAATTACGCTTCATTCTTGGCTTATTTAACAGCAGCAGAACTGGACATGATAGTCACAAATTTTGTTAAAATATTTATTATCAAAATATGATACAAAATATTCATTTATCAGCCATTATAACTGCCGATACCGATAATTTGGAAAATGCCTAATATCGGCCGATAATATCGGTCTGGCTCTAATCTCCATATCTTTCTTCTGACAATAATTAACATCTCTGAAAATGATTTCAGTGTATCAACAAACCAGCCATGCAGGGTAGCCAAGTACATTCCAATTTCACTTTCAGAAGATGTTTTCAGAAGCTGAATAGTAAATAAAAAATAAAAACCAACAGACATCTTACAAAGTGATGTGGTAAATCAGGGTTTTGGCATATTGGCTTATGGTCTTCAGAAGAATTGGAGAAGAATTGTCTCCCTTAAGGGCCACCATTGCTGAAGATCAAAGACTCCAATATCACCATTGAGTGGTCTCTTATTTTCCATTCTCCTGCCAGTTTAACGCCCCCTGAGCTGGCCAGTGAGGTCAGCCAGAGGTCAGAGGTTAATGAAGTGCCCTCAGTTGTTCACAGGAAGAGACAGCGTTATTTAGTGCTGTATCTCCTAGTAAGCTAACAGGAATCTCCAGAGGTCCTCAGACCATCTCATCAGTCTGGATCCCAGACGCCCTCCGGGGCTCTAATGGGAAAGACCAATGTGAACTACCTACCTAGCAACTCGTTTTTAGCATGATGTTATGAACCTGAAAGTTAAAGGTGCAGTTATTTCTGCACCGCTAGTGGCACCAAAATATATAACCATCAGGGACACTAACAACTGCCTTGCAGAAATCCACTCGTCCACTCGTGATACATCTATATTTCCAGAGTTACCACTCGATTAGCAACTACCTACAGTAACAAGGCCTACAAACACGTCAAACCCCAAATAATGCTCTCTTCAAACTATCCAATTATTCTGACCTTTTTGGTTACAGGTTGTTGTAAAATTCAAATGAATATGTCCAAACAGTCCCTCATCTGTCTAATAAAACAATGTTTTAAACAGTCGCTGGTGTTTCCATGGTTTCTACAGAAGTAAACCAGAAATCGAGAGTAGCGTGGATATGACGTCATTGACATGTGACGCAATGACACGGTTTTAGCTCATTTCTCTGGATTTAAAAATTGTTGGAAACATTTGGGATAATGTAATGCCTCGTTTCCACTGAGGGGTACGGTACGGTACTGTACAGTACAGTACGGGTCGGGTCGGGTCGGGTACACCATGATTAGGCTTGCGTTTCCACCGCCAACAGTACCCTTACCTGATAGGCGTGGTATGCTGGAAAGAAGCGATCGACGTCATTTTCGCGCGAAGAAAGCGACATAGTAAACATACAATGGATGACAGACAGTAGATCTTGTTCTCGCTTCTCGGCATGTTTGTCACTAGAAACAAGCGCTGGCATTAGGCGTTTCCAAGAAGCCAACGCAAAGTCCGACTCTGGAGAATGATCCCGAGGACGCGAGTCCAGTAATTCTGTTTATGGAACAGCGCGTTCTTGAACGCGGCCTCAGCTCGCTCTGGCTCTGCGACTCCGGTTATCTCTGTATGTTCATTTTAGGCAACAATAAAACGAAATATGTTATAAAACACCACTCTGCTTCTTTTCGATTTCCTTTCAATATATTTTAAACATTCTAAAGCAAACAAATGTGCAACGCATAGCCTTGATTATATTCACTGCATGTAACGTTATTTATAACAAAACTAAATAAAATAACCCTGCCTCTTTTCGTTTAAATTTAAAACTATTAAACATATTCCAGGCAATATGTAGCCTAATGTATTGCATAGGCTATCGCATTGGTACAAATGTTGCAATAAACAACATTACAGATGATCTTGTAATAAAATAAAATATGACAAAACTATCTCTTTTTGTTGAATTTCAGTTTTATCAATAATAGCCATTATAAAAGTATAAGTAAAAAGTACATAATATAATATAATATTATATATATATAATACATAATATAATATAATATAATATACAAGCTTAAATATAACATCAAGAAACAATTCAGTCAGTCAAATATACTCAGCGCTCAAATATGAAACTTCACGTAGCCTTCTGCCAAAACTATTGGCCAGGAAACGAATTATAGATTCACGAGACCAAAGATCCCCTGTTAGGTTTATACAAGACGAACTATATCTCATGTTTAACCACTAAAGAGACGTCCGAGTCAGCGGCAAACATCAGAACGACTAGCCGAGGAAAGGCTGTTCCCGGCGGGGGACACGAGCGCGAGCGTCCGGTGATCGCTTTTAGAATGGGTCTCAGTCAAATTATCAAAAATCTATAAATAAACCACAGATTTGAGCTTTAAAAAACTACTTTCTCGCCTGAAAAACTCTTAAAACTACATTTCGTGACACAATAACAGTAGAATTATATTTCAACTGTATATGCTTCATGCCCTTGTAGCACGCGCGAGTGACGACACTCTGTCCACCAATCAGCGTTCTGCAGTGAGTCTAGCTCCACCTTTTAGTACCCTTTCACTGTGCTAGGTACCCCAACGGAAGGGTACCCAAAAAGTGGTACGGTACGGTTCAGCTTTTTGGTACCATTCACAAGTTTTGACAGTGGAAACGCAAATAATTGCGTACCCAACCGAACTGTAACGTACTGTACCACTCAGTGGAAACGAGCCATAAGTGTACAAAGTCAACAAAATACAGCATATAACATTGTTCTAGTGGGTTTTTTTGGATATTTTAAAGGGATACTTCACCTCTGGAAAGATGAATGTGTATTTAAAATGGGTCATTTATGTAGAAGAAATGTGAAATTGTTCTTGAATTTGGAGCTTTCTAGACTTAGAAAAGCCAGAAAATGTATTTTTGCCGTATGTGGGTGAAAGACAACAACTCCCAGAATGCACTTGCTTCGCTGCCCTAGGAGGCCACGCCTACCAGTAACAGAGCGCGGTAGTTAAACAACAAGTCTAGGCTACTAGTGATGAGTCTGCTCGAAAATGTGTTTCGAGATCGCCCAAAATGTCCGGGAAATGTCCGGTTACTGTGGCGAGTAGGACGAGTGAGGGCCTGTGTATTGATGAGAGTCTGTTACAGATCATTACACATTACACAGCGTACCGTGAATGAAAGATAGCCTGTCAACACACAGCCCTCTCATCTGTTTCATGTGGCATATCAGCTGGGACTCTTTAGGATGTACTCAGGACCAAATGGGACAACTCGAGAACCAGACCGAATCATTGGAGATTTACAGCCATGCTGGTGTGATGCAATTGGTGATAGATGAAAAATTAGCCAGACCAAATAGTAAAAATATAATTGGGCACCCTGCTTTCTAGTCATTAGTTTCAGTTCACCATCAGATCTAAACCACTTTCTTTACACTGTACACCACTCCAGGTTGTGTGTCTCATATACAAGGTTTTGATGCAAATCTCAGCCCTAGAATCTTGTTTTTCTTCAGAAGTATATCTTTTCTATTGACTTTCTTGATGTGAAGTTGACATCTGTGTGCTTTATCTTGTGTTGTAGAGTTACTGGGCTCCACCAAGAGGCTGAACATCAACTATCAGGATCCAGACGGGTGAGTCATTATTCTGTTGTGGGTGAATCTCATAAGGACATGTCCGGGTCAAAACACGGAGATAGTCACAGTCACTGAACACTTTCACAGCATTTTTTACCTTATATTTATCTCACAGCCCTGAGAGTGTCAGTGTGCTCATGTTCGTGCACGTTGACTTCCTGTGTGATGCATCATGATTAGTTTTGAAATTGACAGGGACAAGCTTTTGGGAAGTTGTTAAATCACATCGGCACACTCATGGTACCGTCTTAAAGGGTTAGTTCACCCAAAAATGAAAATTCTGTCAGTATTTACTCACCCTCATGTTGTTCCAACCCCGTAAGACCTTCGTTCATCTTCGGAACACAAATTAAGATATTTAAGATATTAAGATCGCTCCTGCATACAGTCCATAGGCTTCTTGAGGGACTGGCTCTTGCTGTCCCCGAAAAGTCATTAAAGACATCGTTAAAATAGTCCAAGTGACTACAGGGGCTCAATCTTAAGTTTATCAAACGACGAGAACACTTTTGTGCGCAAAAAAACAACAAAAATAACGACTTTATTTCAACTATTCGTTTATTTCTCCCTCTGCGCGAGTCAGGTTACTAGTTTAATAGCGTAAGCTTCTGTTATTGTACGTCACACGCATCACACACACATGACCAGCGTCGGCCAATAGTGAGCCTACGTGTGACGTAGCTCTACGCAATCACACTACGTTAACTGACTACAGGCCCATGGAGAAGGAAGTGAATAGTTGAAATAAAGTCGTTATTTTTGTTGTTTTTTTGCGCACAAAAGTGTTCTCGTCGTTTGATAAACTTAAGATTGAGCCCCTGTAGTCACTTGGACTATTTTAACGATGTCTTTAATGACTTTTCGGGGACAGCAAGAGCCAGTCCCTCAAGAAGCCTATGGACTGTATGCAGGAGCGATCTTAATATCTTAAATATCTTAATTTGTGTTCCGAAGATGAACGAAGGTCTTACGGGGTTGGAACAACATGAGGGTGAGTAAATACTGACAGAATTTTCATTTTTGGGTGAACTAACCCTTTAAAGGGATACCCCTCTTTCGACACTCTGAGACACTTTGATAGCACTTAATCAAAGAAGATACTTTATAAAGACAGTTATACAGGCAGGAGAAAACAGTCTTGACAAGTCGAACCACGAACGCTGTTCATACAGTTCAGAAGTTCGCTGAACTTTTCGTGGTTCGACTTATCGAGACTGTTTTCCAAAGATGGCTTCTGCCTGTATACACGAAGTGGACTGTCTTCATAAAGTATCTTCTTATTAAACGGTCTGGACACTTGCAAAGTTCTCAATGCTTCGTTTTGCGCGTATGGACCCTCATTATGTTACTGTGTTAGTGTGGGGCTATTTTGAGCCTTATTAGTGGTATAAACTAGCGATTTCTTTTTACTTAGTCAATGCCCCCATTACTAGCGTTATACGCTAAACAGTTTTAGAGATTAAACTCTTTACATTCGATTATCATGAAAACAAATCTCAGAGAACGGTTGACTGTGTACCAATGTTTTATTAGACCAAAGGTTCATTTTGCGCTGGAGTTCTCCTTTAAGGGAATAGCATAGTTAAATAAATGTCCTCTCCGCACACCTCTAACCTCTCTGTTTGTTCTCCGACAGACCCCTGAATAATAACTCGGCCGTGTCTTCATCCATCTTTGCTGAAATTATCATGTTTGGCCAACTTCATATACTCACTAAGTGCACTATGAGCTATTAGCCTGTGTTTATAAGAGTAGATCCCTTACCTGTGGTTTGTCTTAAACTGACCAAGTATCGTTGCTTTCACAGTCCATTAAAACATGCTATGTCAACAGTGTCTTTGAGATAAGATGGGCCTCTCTCAGGGCTGTAAAACGCTACATTGACCTCATATATTTAAGTCGAGACTTTGGGTGACATTTAGGTGCTTGTTTTTGGGTCCACCTCTCTGTCGTAAAAAAGAGAAAGGGGGGAGGGCCAGCCGAGGGGTCAGAGATGGCCATTCGTGGATAAGGACCATAACGAATTAGATAGTGTTTACAAAGCACCGAACAGCCATTATTGAGGCCGGATGGGAAAACAGGGAATGATGGATGGAGATTTATGGGAGTTGTTGAGTGCTGGTCTGTAGCTGGTGTGAACTATATGTCATTTTAAATGGATAACCAGAAATATTCAAGATAAACTTGTGGATTAGACTGGCTGACGTCTCAGGTCTTTAAAGCGGTCCACTCTCAGTTTGAACAAGATGCATCAATATTATGTTCGGTTAAGTTGCCATGGTATCTACTGACCGGCTTTTGTTATATAACATCTCTGTCCAATGGAAATTTACTGACAGAAGAGGAAAACAGGAAAACGGTTGAAAGGATGTAGTTGAACTCACTCGGAGTGTGTGTAACGCAGTCATGCAGAGACCTGTATCAATTATTAATGGGAATAAAGTACATAGACTCACCCATGTGTAGGCAGAGGAATCTGAATGATCTTACGAAATCTGCAATCTGTTTGACTTTGATTTTATTTGACATAAAAAGTAGCAATATAACATTGTTACAACTTCATTGTGAAGGATAACACAAAGTTACATTAACTTATTTTCCTTGTGGTCCTTGATTTTTTTTTTTTTTAACGAGACATTTTCATGATAAACCATGTACACAAAAAAACAACTACATTTATACATATCTATTACGCCATCCTAAAAACAATCTCTTCACACTTTTACTAACAATGCGGGTTTTTACTAACAATCTAATTATAAAGAAAATTAAGCTACTTTTTAGGACCATGAGGATTTTTTTCTGTGTGACAATTTATTACAATTACACTCTCAGAAAAAAAGGTACAAAAGTTGTCACTGGGGCTGTACCTTTTCAAATGGTACACTTTCTTACCTTAGTGGTACATATTAGCACCTAAAATGTACATATTAACAAGTAAAATGTACATATTAGTACCTAAAATGTACATATCAGTACCTAAAATGTACATATTAACACCTAAAATGTACATATTAGCACCTAAAATGTACATAGTACCTAAAATGTACATATTTACACCTAAAATGTACATATTAACACCTAAAATGTACATATTAGTACCAAAAATGTACATATTAACACCTAAAATTTACATATTAGTACCTAAAATGTACATATTAGTTCCTAAAATGTACATATTAATACCTAAAATGTACATATTAACACCTAAAATGTACATATTAGCACCTAAAATGTACATAGTACCTAAAATGTACATATTAACACCTAAAATGTACATATTAGCACCTAAAATGCACATAGTACCTAAAATGTACATATTTACACCTAAAATGTACATATTAACACCTAAAATGTACATATTAGTACCTAACATGTACATATTTACACCTAAAATGTACATATTAGCACCTAAAATGCACATAGTACCTAAAATGTACATATTTACACCTAAAATGTACATATTAACACCTAAAATGTACATATTAGTACCTAAAATGTACATATCAGTACCTAAAATGTACATATTAACACCTAAAATGTACATATTAGCACCTAAAATGCACATAGTACCTAAAATGTACATATTTACACCTAAAATGTACATATCAGTACCTAAAATGTACATATTAACACCTAAAATGTACATATTAGCACCTAAAATGTACATAGTACCTAAAATGTACATATTTACACCTAAAATGTACATATTAACACCTAAAATGTACATATTAGTACCAAAAATGTACATATTAACACCTAAAATTTACATATTAGTACCTAAAATGTACATATTAGTTCCTAAAATGTACATATTAATACCTAAAATGTACATATTAACACCTAAAATGTACATATTAGCACCTAAAATGTACATAGTACCTAAAATGTACATATTAACACCTAAAATGTACATATTAGCACCTAAAATGCACATAGTACCTAAAATGTACATATTTACACCTAAAATGTACATATTAACACCTAAAATGTACATATTAGTACCTAACATGTACATATTTACACCTAAAATGTACATATTAGCACCTAAAATGCACATAGTACCTAAAATGTACATATTTACACCTAAAATGTACATATTAACACCTAAAATGTACATATTAGTACCTAAAATGTACATATCAGTACCTAAAATGTACATATTAACACCTAAAATGTACATATTAGCACCTAAAATGCACATAGTACCTAAAATGTACATATTTACACCTAAAATGTACATATCAGTACCTAAAATGTACATATTAACACCTAAAATGTACATATTAGCACCTAAAATGCACATAGTACCTAAAATGTACATATTTACACCTAAAATGTACATATCAGTACCTAAAATGTACATATTAACACCTAAAATGTACATATTAGCACCTAAAATGCACATAGTACCTAAAATGTACATATTTACACCTAAAATGTACATATCAGTACCTAAAATGTACATATTAACACCTAAAATGTACATATTTACACCTAAAATGTACATATCAGTACCTAAAATGTACATATTAACACCTAAAATGTACATATTAGTACCTAAAATGTACATATCAGTACCTAAAATGTACATATTAACACCTAAAATGTACATATTAGCACCTAAAATGCACATAGTACCTAAAATGTACATATTTACACCTAAAATGTACATATCAGTACCTAAAATGTACATATTAACACCTAAAATGTACATATTTACACCTAAAATGTACATATCAGTACCTAAAATGTACATATTAACACCTAAAATGTACATATTAGCACCTAAAATGCACATAGTACCTAAAATGTACATATTTACACCTAAAATGTACATATCAGTACCTAAAATGTACATATTAACACCTAAAATGTACATATTAGCACCTAAAATGCACATAGTACCTAAAATGTACATATTTACACCTAAAATGTACATATTAACACCTAAAATGTACATATTAGCACCTAAAATGCACATAGTACCTAAAATGTAC